GCGGAGGAGGGCGAAGGGCGGGCGGGAGGAGGCGGCCTCCGCCGCGGACTCTCCCTCCCCCGGCGTGCGTCGGCGGGACTGTGGGCTCGCGGACCCGCGGCGGTGAGGCGCTGGGTCCCGGCCCCGGATTGTGATGTCTCAGGAGGCGGTGGGCGGGTGACGCAGCCCGGGCCCCAGGACCTGGTCCCCGCGGCCTGCCCCTGCCCCCAGCACCTCGCTCTCCTGGCGGGTACGACCCCCTTCCCCGCTCCCCTCGGAGGGACAGTGCCCGCGGCCTGCCCCTGACCCCCAGGAGGCCGGGACAGTGGCCATGGTGGGGGCAGGCTCAAGTGTAGTGGGAGATGGGTGGAGGCTCCTGAGTGGGGCCCCCGGGGAGAAGGACCTTCGTCCTTGCGTTTCCCGGTCCCCTGGTGACCCCAGGTTCTGGGAGGAGCAGGAAGCAGCCCAACTCCGAGGAGCTGGGGTACTCCAGCTGTCCTGGCCGCCAACTCTCCAGCTGTCCTCTGATGGCGATGTGGAAAGACAGGCCTTTTGGCTCCTTCCGTGTAGCTCTTTTTTTTTTTTCTTTTTTTTTTTTTTGGTACCGGGAATTGAACTCAGGACCTTGTGCTTGCCAAGCAAAGTACTGTGCCGCTGAGCTATATCCCCCGCCTCTTGTGTAACTTCTTGAGACGTTCCTGATCTTCTTTGGGGCTCATAACTCCTGTGTCTCTGGAAAGAAGGGTAACTAGAGACATGGAAGTTGCCCAAGGTGGAGAAACGGCTGAGGGGGCATGAGGTCCCAGCCCCCTGTTCTGAGCTCAGCGCTTGTCCCCTCTGGACACCTGACGCCGTTGAAATGGCTTTCAACACGGCACATCTGGAGAGGGTACCAGTGGGCGGTACCAGGGTACCAGAGGGTGTGCGGAGCCAGCTGGCCACTCCAGGAGTGAGCAAGTGGGGAGACTGGGGAGGCTGAGGTTACCCTGGGGTCCTGTCTCCCGGAAGAGGGGCAGTGGGAATTGCTGATCAAAATGAGCTCCAGAAAGGGGCCGGCGAACTTGTGGGAGGACCTGGGCTGGAGGTGGAGATCGGCACAGGTCGCTGAAGACTGACCTGGGAGCTGAGGCTGAGGAAGAGCAGAGCCTCTGGGGCCAGTACAGGAGCGGAGGTCCGGTGGGGGCCGTGGGACTTGCCTGGCGCCTGCCTTGGCTCATAATTGCATGGTTATTTCACCCTCCAGGAGCAGGTCTGCCTCCGCCTCACGCAAGGCCAGGGCACCGGGTGGTAGCCAGGCATCACTTAATGTGCCTGGTCTGCTAGACATCGCCCTGCTTTTAGATTTCAGTTTATTTTCCGTAATTGCTTCATGAAACCGAGAGCAGAGAGAGTCAGCTTCCTGTCCATAGCAGGTGGGAGGTGGAGAACCTGGCTGAGCCTGTGTGCCAGGGGCTGGGCGCAGCCGCAGGACAGACCACTGCGCATGATACCAGGATGACTGCCCACACCTTCTGGGATGGCAGCTGTATTGCCCAGGCGGTGACTGACAGCTCCTGGGCAGGAAGGGCCAATGTCACCACTGATGGAACACCAACTGTGTGCCAGATGCAGACTGGAAAGAATGTCAGGTGGTTTTCAGAGTGGTGAGCACGAGGGTGGCCCCCAACATGTCCTTCGGCATTCTGAACTCAGCACAGCAGCTCCGTCTGCCGCACCCTCACCTGCCAGTCCTGGCTTCCCACCTGATTCGGTGACAGAGGCTGCAGGTCCTGGTCACACCTGTGCTATGGCTTGGATGTGGCTTGGACTCCAAAGGTTCATGTGTTAGGAGTTGGGTGCCCCAAGTGGCATCTGGGGAGACCATGGACACTTCAAAGGCGAGACCTCCTGGGCCATCTTGGGTCTGATTGGGCATTCCCCTTGGAAGAGAGTAAGGTAGTTTTCGTGGGACTCTGGTTGTCCTTGCAAGAGTGAATTGTTCTATAAAGACCAAGCACCGCTGGTTCTACTTCCTGGCTTCCTGGCTCACATGTGATGTGTCCTGTCACACATGTTCCCACAGGGATGCAGCCACAGTGACATGATGTGGCCAGGGGGCCTTTGCCAGAGCCGGTGCCATGCCATTTGGAGGTTAAACCTCAAAAAGTGAGCTAAGTAAGCCTCTTTATAAGTTACCCAGCTTCTGACCCTTACTTATGTAAGTGTCACAGAAAATAAACTCATACACCAGGTCATCTCCAGGCTTTTGCTTGATGTGTCCTTGAATGCCATGCCCCGCTTCCGATGCTCACCTGAACCTAGCTTGTTCCTTCTCTATCACCACCACCTCAGGAGAACTTCTCTGACACGCCTGGGCCAATCAAATGCCTCCCAGTACCACTATCATAGCATTAGGTACAATCTCCTAAGACCCGCAGACCCTGCAGTCCTGGGTCCACGTTGCACCTGTGTGTATTGTTTCTGCATAAACTGCACAGGCCTCAAGAAAAGGGCTGTGTCCTATGCATTTCTCCATCTGTGCTCAGGGCAGCCGGGCGCAGAGTAACGCCTCCATGTTGAACAAATGCATGAATGAATAATCCTAATTACAGACCTGAACTTAGAGAACAGGGGCCCAAAATGAACACCAGCTGACCCTCATGTTTTGGGGCCAAGCAAAAGTGTAGGGAAGTGGTCAAGAAATGTTTCCAATGGGCAAAGCACCCACCTTCAAAGGTGAAGGCGAATACCAATCTCCCGACATCTCCTTCCCAGTGTGCACAGCCTGCAGGGGAGGGATGTGTGTGACTCAAGGAATTCGGGAATTTGGCCTCTTTGTGGATGAACCGGGGGAAGGAAAAGTGCTCTGCCTGAAGGCTTGGCTACTCGGGGGTTTCCAGACCATGTGCTTGCCAAGTTGCCTGGTTTTTGTAGAATCCTTGACATTGCATAAATCTGATTTCTGCTGAGAGGACTTGGAGTCAGAGACCGGATAGAACCTTGGGGCGCAGTGGATCCAACGCCCCTCCCAAGGAAAGACTTCAGAAACTCCTGGCCCCAGTGATCCTCCTGGACAGGACTGAAGAGTTCAGGCAGGAAGCCCAGAGAGAGGTTGACATCTCTGCCTCCCAAGCCCACTGGAGAACTAATAGGAACAACCGAAGATAACTCCAGAGTCTCCCGCCCCGACCCCCTGCTACTTCCTACATGGATGGTGACACTGCACTCCACGCTGCCATAGCCCCGAGGCCTGGCAGGCAGGGATCAGTCCTCAGTGGGACTCAACTCTTAAATCACCTGCCCACGATTGGAGAACGAGCCTACCCAGCTTTGCCCTGTACTTCTCACTACCTGCTGTGGCCAAACTTGTGTGGTATTAGTCATACGTATTAGGTACCTTTAGATGACACTGTTTAAGTATGATTTCCATTAAAATAATAGCACTCATCAGCATATAAATATTAGGAATTTCAAATGATGCCTCATTAAGAAGTTATAATGGGGGCCAGTGTGGTAGTGCACGCCTGGTATCCTAGCACTTGGGTGGCTGAGGAGGGAGGATCGTGGTGAGTTCAAAGCCAGCCTGAACTACATAGCAAGATGCTGTCTTAAAAAAAAAAAAGTTTATATTGGACCTAGCTAGGCTGACCAGTGATCATTCTTCAAGAACACTGGAGGAATAAAAAAAAAAAAAAAAAAAAAAAGAACATCAGGGCAGAATGCCTGCATTATGATGTCACGAGGCTGCACTATGACATAGAGACATCTGGCCTCATTTATTCATTCAACAAACACCAGTTGACTATGCATTTGTGGCCTAGCTGTGCTCTGTAGTGTGGCCTGGGTCCCAAGAGGACTTGATAGGGCTCTCCCACTGCCCTTTAGTCCTGGCGTGGAAAGCAACATGAGGCCGGCTGTGGGGAGCTGTGCAAGCCTCCGTGACAGGGGAGTGGGACAGTGTGGCCAGGAGATGGGCTCCGGACTGTCCAGTCCGGATGTGCAGGGGCTGGGCTGGCTCAGGACTTCTGCAGCCTCTGTACGCTTCTGTTTCTGGTGCATACTTCTGTGTCCACCCACTGTCAGCCTTCTGCTACTGTTATAAATACCCGAGATACTCGCCTTAGAGAGAGGAGAAGTTTATTTTGGCTCAAGGTACTATTATTATTACTATTATCATTATTATTATCATTATTATTGGCTTTCTTGAGACAGTGCCTCTCTAGGTAGTTCAGGCCGGCCTCAAACTCAGTATATACCCCATGCTGGCCTGAAACTCACCATGTTCCTCCTGCCTCAGCCTCCCAAGTTCTGAGATTACAGGGGTGCACCACCGTGCCCGGCTTGGATCGCAGTTTTGGAGGTAAGTCCACGATTGTGAGCCCTGTTGCTTTGACAGCACATGTGGCAGAGCACAGCCAATCACCCCAGGGCTGGGAAGTCAGGGAAGGAGGAAGAGTGGGTCCTGAGCTCCATCGCTCCCTTTGAGAACAGGCCCGTTCCACCCCATGCAATCGAAAGCGCTTGCGCCTGACCTCCCCTATGAAAGGCCCCACAGCCTCCTGGTAGTGCCACCTTCGGCACCAAGCCTGTACTGAATGAGTGTTTGGGGGACGCCCGAGCTCCAAACCAGAGCACCCCCGCTTTGCCCACCCTCCCAGAGATGGACTCGTCTTGTAGAGCAGATGTTTGACAAATGTTTCGTGCTTGAATAAACGAAGTCCATTTGCACTTTACTGACAAGTGCCTGCTGATTCTCATGGCATCCTGGGTTCCAAAAGAGCACTGGGGCTCAGTCTGACCACTAGGTTTTTTTCTGCTAAACTTTACACCTTGGGCCGGGGATATAGCTCAGTGGCACAGCACCGGCCTGGCAAGCACAAAGTCCTGAGTTCGATTCCCAGTACCAAAAAACTTTTTTTAAAAATAAACTTTATACCTCCTTTGCCACCTTCCTCCAGGACCCTGTGGGACATTGGAGAGAGGCTGAGACACCCAAGAGCCATCACGAGATAGAGGTTTGTGACACAGAATGCAGTGGACGGAAGGAGAGGTTCTCCTCCTGCTTTTGTGCCTTGGAACTGTGTGACCTCAAGCACGGTCCTGACCTCGTTGCTGTCCCCTGTAAAATGGGACCTCAGGCGCCCCCTGGAAGGAGTGTATGAGAACAGAGACCAGCGACACAGAACCCGTGCTTCAGCCAACCCAGATCATTCCAACAGCACAAAAGGCAGCCACCGTTAGAGGAAAAGCTGCCCCTGAACTTGGGAAAGTCCCTGTCATGCAAAAGAGTAATGTAGTCTCTGAGATTTTATTAATTTTTGTAGTGTGGAGGTGTTAGTAGATGATTTTAAAATTCTGCTTTCCTAAGTAGACGGCACCGGATGCCCCAATTTCCACAAATAAAACCCTTCATTTCTCCCAGGTTTGAATAGGCAAAGGCTGCCTCCCTGGAGACAGCACGGCTAATATTTTTGATCGACATTAGAACTCTATTTAAGGAGTGTACCTTTTCCAGAGAAGCAAATGATAAACTTTTTGCCCCTTTAAGAGTGAGAAGCAGGAGGGAGAAGAGACTGTAGAAAGAAACTCCCCAGGTGGGCTGTTTGCAGAAGTACATGTATTTTTTTTTTTTTTCACCTTTTTAAATCAAAAGCAGACTTTGCTGCTGAAAATCTGGAGAAGGATGGTTTAAAAGTCGGTGCATGGTGCAAATAAAATCCCTGGGCTGGCCCTGAGCTGACATTCACTGCAGCAGCGACCCAGTTTTAATTTAATTGTGCATCTATTGTCTTCCTGTGCAGCTGACACGGAGAACTAGCTGTTTCCCAAGGACTGTGTCTGTGCTTTGAATTTATTACCTCCCTTCATCGAGCAACCCTTTGAAGTGTAGGAACTGTGATCATTCTGATGCTTATTGGTGAGGAGACTAAGGGGAGAAAGTGCAGTACCATCCCCAAGGCCACATCTGCTGGAGTTCAGCCACGAAGGGGCTCATGCCCTGATACTGTACAGAAGCTGGGTCTGGTCTTTCCGCTCCACAGCAGCAGCCTTCGGCACGTTGAATGGGCACAAGTCACTGAGCAGGACTGGTCCAGTTAGAGACACCCTGGGAAGTGCCCCGTGGTGCCCCTGTCCCTGTCGTTCCAGCCTAGGCACCATGCAGACGTGAGAAGCCACGTCAGCCCAGGAGAGCTCTTGGGTGACCTCAGCTCCAGGAACCATCTGACCGGAAATGCGTGCGAGACCCCCCAATTGTGGAAGAGCCTGTGCTGCTATTGTGAGCCTTATCTACACAGTGCTGGCCCCCCAGCACCCCGAGCTCTCCTCTCTGTCTCTGGGCGTCCTGGTCCTGGCTGTCCCATCTCCCTCAGAGGTCCCACTGCGTACCCGTTTCCTTCTCCCCTGTGATGCTCTCAGAGTGACCTTCACGTGTCACCAGGGCATGCCACACTCTGGCTTCCCCGCCTCCTGGAGTGTGCCCGGGCCCTGCAAAGCTTGACCCCTTTCTCTCATGTGTCCCCTCCTCTTCCATGGCCCCTGACCCTCTCAGTTCCTCAAGAGCCACTTTACATGCGAACCCCACGGTCCGGTGATTCTGCTGCTGGTCTAGAGCGGAAGTGCTCCCACAGGCTCCTCCAAGAGCCTTCACGGCGGTGTTATTCCCCAGAGCCCAGACAAGCCTCAGCCATCACGAGGGGGATGGGTGCACACTGGATTACTCACCAAGGAGAAGCGGGGGAACCAGGGAGTCTCAGGACCATAGCGTGGGGAAGAAGCCAGATGCAAAAGCATGTACCAGGCCAGGGGGCACAGCTCAGTGGTAGAGCATCGCCTGGCATGCACCAAGCCTCGAGTATGGATCCTCAGCACTGCCGAGAGGGAGACAGAGAGAGGAGGGAGGGATGCATACTATAGGATTCTGTTAATAAAAATTCAAATGCAGACAGTCGAGGATGATCAGAGCTGGATGGTTTTCAGCTTTGCCTCTTATATGGATTTGATCACACACGTGTTCTTATTCATTACAGGTGGCTCACCAATTTGTCTGTTTTCTGGGTGGATGTTTCAGAAACTCAAAGTACTGTTCAACCTCATGTTAAATGACTTTTGCCCCTACCTTTCCTCTACCAAACATTTTCTGCCTTCTCTTAGTCTTTCTCTAGGTAATTTCTAGTGGTTGTTCAGGCCTCCCTTCCCCAGGAACCCTTTCCCGATTGTGTCAGTCAGCCTTAGCTGTGTAACAAACGTGCCCATACAAACACTGCATAGTGACTTAAATCAACAGTCATTCACTAGCTCATGATGCTGTGGTTGGAAATTGGTAGTTCTTTTGCTGCTGAGGAGGGAGATATGGAGTAGTTTTGAGCAAACAAGACGGGAAGGGGATTGTAGCACAGTGCCCATCAGGAGTATGTGCTGTGGAGAACATTGTTCATGTCAATCTGATTTCGTGTGTGGTCACGCCCTTAAATTTTACAAGTGCAAAAATACTTGACAGGTTTGTTTTACTGTCCCAGCTGAATACCTGTGACAGTTACTGCGCCAGGACCTGGGACTAATTGAAGAATAAGGCCAATGCAGGAGGCGAGCTTGGGTTCATTCATTGATTCCTTTCCCCAGCCAGTGTGAGGAGCTGCCCAGGGCCAGGTACACTCTCAGCAAAGGAATCCAGTGATGAGGGATGCGGACACGAGACCTGTCCCCATGGAGTCTGCCCGAGGACAGGCAGCTCTGCGGAAGAGGGGTATGGGGAAGACAGGAAAGCCAGAAAGAAGATAGTGACACTGTCAAGGTAGTAACTTGGGGTCTTCCTACAGGCATGCAAGTGTGTGCAGTCCAGTATGTACACCCATATCCAATTGTAACATCCAATTCTACTAGGAAAGGAGGACAGGAAACACCCTAAAAATGAGTAGCATTTCTGAATGTGAGCTCTCTGTTGAGTGGTTACTGGGAGTTTTCCCAAATCTATTCAGCAAGTCACAAGGGCAGCATCATTGGCCTACCCTGCAAACGAGAAAAACTGAGGCTCAGAGAAGTTGAGTCACTTGTCCAAAGTCGCACAGCAAAAGGAAGATGCCCCAGACTGGCGTGTCCCTCTCTGCTCTTTTTGTGGAAGTTGGTGAGGCCCGAGCTGAGCCTGGGAAGGTGCTTCCCTGGTGGGTGATAACCAAGGAGAATAAGGGCAGGAGACTAAGGCTGACCCTGGTGAGCAGAAATGTGGGCACAAAACCACAGTGCCAAGGCTGGCGAGCTGGGAGGGAATGCTGGAGGCCTGGTTGCGGGGCAGTGGGTCCTTGCTATGCAGCCACAGAGACGCAAACAGCGAGAAACATTGGCGAACTGTCTGCCAGACTCAGCTGAGCAGAGCCATTTTCCCACAGCCCCCAGAACCTGGGCTGCAGGAGGGAGGCTGCCCGGCGTTCGGAGCACCATGCCTGCCATGGGACAGCCAGCACGGGTTCAGATCCCAACCCTCCTCTTCCTCCCCTGAGGCCTTGGGGAAGCAACTTCCTCCAAAGGAGCCTCGGCTCCTGCCCTTGTGAAACGGGATTAGCAGACCTGCTCCTGGCACAAGGCGGGCACACAGCAAGGACTGTCGCTGTGCTTGAGCATCTCACAAGCCCTGAGGGCCAGTTGCCCTCAATGCAGAACCTGAGAGTGCTCGGGGTCCCCAGGTGTGCAGTGCACTGCTTGTCTCCGGGTCAGCCATGGCCAGTAGCCAGGGGCGCCGTGTCCTGGTTGCTCCTCTCGAGGGAGATGGCCCCCAGGCCCATAGGACTGTCCAGCCTGGCTCACCCGAGAAGAGGGCTCTGCATGGTCTCCACAGCCAGCCGCATCGTGTGAGTACTGCTTGGTTTACCGGAGCAAGCGTCCATGCATCTATGCCAGAACCTCTGGAGCCCAGCTAGCACAGCTGTATTCGAGCCAGCTGTTCCGTGGCTTCCTAAGGGTGCCACTTCACATGTCCATTCCAGGGGTGCTGCTCAGAGCTCCCCAGCACACCCATCCACATCAGGAAGGGTTGAGGTGAGGTACGACAGAAAGGATAAATACAGGGAGGAAGGAGGCGAGGATAGCCAGAATTTAAACTGCAACTTCAGGACAGGAAAGTTTCTTGAGCCTTTTTTCCTTCTGGGAAACTCAAAAAGAAAAAAAAAAAAAAAAGAGATTCCCAAGGGTCTTAAAGGCCCAGTAAATGGGGCACTGGACCCATGTTTTTCACCTGTAAATTATACCTCCACCCCCAAGGAAGCTGCAGTGTCAGTGGGCTGCAGATTGCAACTTGCGCACGTATATAAATGGTTTGCACACTAACATAGCCTGCCAGATGGGTGACGGCAGATGGGCATTGTGACAGACAGCAGGAACACACAGCCCGGATCGCCCATCTTGAAGATGCCCCCAAGCTCCACCAATAAATCCAGCCTCAGATCATAAGGTGCCTCTCTCTAGAGGGCCGCTGTTTCTTTGTTTGTTTTTTTTGGTTTTTCTCCGGTACCGGGAACCGAACTCTCGACCTTGCGCTTGCCAGGCAGGCGCTTTTGCCACTGAGCTAAATCCCCAGCCCCCCCTGCTGTTTCTTTGAGTGTGTCCTTTACATTTCTGCTGAATAAATTCCTTGATGTCTCTTACTGGTGCATCCTGAAAATTCCTTTTCTACAACAGGAGTCGGTGAATCTGCAGGGTAATTTTACTGGTTACGGTGGGCTTCCAAACCTCCTAGGATCTTGTCCCTAAGGCAGACGGAAGTGAGGTTCTAAAGATAGTGTTATCAAGACAAAGGCCCCTTCTGGGTTAGGCTGAGCCCAGCCTGCTCCTTCTGCCAGTCCCCTCCCTCCTGGGCTGAATTTGGGAACTTGCCCTCTACTGGTCTAGTGGTCTTATTCCTGGGGTTTGGTCAGAAGCCCAGGAAGGCAGCTGTAGGAGGAGGCGGGGCTGGGAAGGCAGTAGGAGGGCAGGGTGTGACCCTGGCAGGGACCCTGGCTCCCTGACTGCCAGCTGCCCTACCTGACTTGCTCTGTGAACTTTAGGAATCCCTTCTCCTTTGAGAATGGGGTTCCTCTCTGCTAAACAAGACACAGCCACTCCCCGACCACCAGATCAGCGCCTGCTCTGGGACCCAGTCACTCTGGAAGGCAGAAGATGGCTCTGTCCTGCCAGCTGCCCTCTCTCTGCTAGTGGCCACGTCCAACTTGGCTCTGCAGTGCCTGAATCCCTGAGGGGGACTGGTCATCCCCAGCCTCCAGCTGCAGGCTCTGTAAGCCCACCTACCCCGAGGAGGGGATGGAGACCTTCCCTTCAGGGCCATGTGGACTATTGCAGTTTGAGGATGACGCTGGTCTTCGGGGAGTGCCAGCTCCACCCCTTCCTGGTGAGACTTGGTGTGACAGTGGACACAGAGCTTCCCTGAGCTCCCGTCTCACCTGTCCGATGGAAATCGCCATACATCTGTCCTGGATTCCCGCGGGGCTGGTGGAGCGCTCAGCTGGGCTGGCAGGGGACGCGCTCGTGAGGGTGTGGTCTGCTTAAACTGTGCAACACTCGGGGGAAGCCACGAGGCTGTGGCTGACATGGGGGAGCCTGGAGCAGCAGGTAAGGGAGCCAAGGGCTGGGTGAGCACAGAGAGATGGTGGGAGGGTGACGGGTGGAGGAGGGAGAAGCCCATAGACCACAGGGGTGACATGAGAAGGGTGGGTTTGCCCGAATGCCCCACGCAGATGTTTGTGCTCTGCCAGAGAAGTTCCTCTGTTATCCCCAGGCCTCCTCCTCTCTGTTCCTTCCTTCTCCTCTTCCCACTTCCCTCAGCAGGGCTCCGGAGCACCAGCCACGCACCAGCCACTGCCCAGAAGCCCAGGAAAGTGGCAGAGGAAGAGGAGGGACATACGGACATTCATTACGTGGAGTCAGCCATGGTGTGCTGAGCCCTGTGGAGCAAAGTCAGGACCTGTTCTGGGTGAAGGGTGGGGACGGTGAGGGTGGGTGATGGCTCTCGGGACACAGTCGCCACCTGCAGCTAGCACTTGTTCTTTCATCTCTTCAGTCTGAGTCCCCCATGGGAATGGCTTTGGCCAGCAGACACCAGCGAAGGTCACACATGCGCAGGTGTAGAAAGCACTTGTGTACCTGGACTTCTGTCTGTTTTTGTGGCACGTGGAGCTCTGAGACGATGATGTGAAGAGTCCAGGCGAGCCTGACAGAGAGGCCACCTGGAGGTGTCCCCTGCAGTAACATGCCAGCTGCCACACACACACGAGATGGACGAGACCATCCAGCCTCGGCCCCGGGGCACAAGAGCTGCTGTCTTCCTCCCCACAGCATCGTCACATCTTGGTAGAGATCAGCAGACCGGATTTTCCATCAAATGTCCCTTTTCGCTTTCACAGCTTGCAGTT